CCAGGCGCAACACGAAGAAACCGTGAGGAGGAAGAGCCACTGATAGAGGACAGCGACGAGGATGCGCTCGACGGGCCCGAAAACAAAGGCCACCGCCGACAGCGAAGCAACACGCACACATCGGGCCACACAACCGACTCCCTCAGCTCGCGAGGCGACATCTTCCCCAGCGAAGACGAGCTGGAAGACGCCGTGCCCCTCGACGACGAATTCACCATCGCCCTCGAGCGCCGCACAACAGGGCAATGGAACGAAGACACGCCCAGCAGCAACAAGGCCCGCTCAAGTAAGAGCAAGCGCCCCTCTGCATCCCGCGTATCCACGCGCACACTCTCCTCCCGCAACACAAGCAACTCGGATAAACCGCCTCTCTCCGCGCGCTCCGTCTCGGAAACAATCGAACAAGTTCCCCCGACGCTCGACGAACTCTCGAAAGAAGAGGAACGTCTTCGTTTACAAGAGGAGAGGGAAGTCAGTCGCAAACGCCAGGAAGCGCAACAACTCGCCGTCAAGCGCGGTCTAGCGCCCGATCAACCTCTCTCCACCAAATCGAGTACGCCTCGTTCTGCGTCGCCAGCGCGATTTATGACAACTGTAGACTCGACTGTATCTCCGCTTGTACGCACGCCCGTTGGCGAGACTGCGCCGTCGATAGATCAAAGCGATGCGATTCCTTTCCCGAGTTTCGTAGATACGCAGACGATGCCTGATAGTAGTGCGTTCTATGTGGATGAGAGCGATTACTCGAGTAAGGCTGTTACGCCCAATCGACCATTGTCTATTAAAGACGAGGTGAGAGAGGAAGACGAAAGAGGGGGACTTGGTCAAGAGCCATTTGTTCCGGCTAGGTTACCGCATTTTGGATCTGGATAGACACTGGAATAGATGAAGAGATAGACGGTGATTGCTGTATGAAGGCATTTATTGCACTGTTATGAGGACATGTAATGGGCATATGAAGAGACGCAGCGGGTAGCATGTGTTGTAATATAACAGTCTGAGCGATTCGATTCAATTCATCTTGTCAATATTACTATCGGTTGGCTAAAAGCCCATGTTGCCAAATGTAATCTGCTTCTTGGTCAACCCTTGGTATATCTCATCTAGCACGCCTCTCTTCCTTTTCTTATCCACTTCCTTCTCTTCCCGCTCCAATTGCTCATCCTCGTCTGCTTCAGCGTCTTCTTCTGTTCGCGGCGTCCATGCCGCTATACTGCCATCGGCATGCGCAGAATACATCTCTACATGATGTGGCCGCCACGCTAGACTTGTGATTCTATCCTTGATATTGCGTTGTCCCTTTGCTGTTGCACCAGACGTACTAGGTGGATTGTTCGTCTGGGGCTGCTGTGAGCGGCGCAGACGGCGGATCAGCTTGCCGTCAAAGAGCTCGTAGCTAAGTATCTCATGCTCGTTGGGGTAGAACATGAGATCGGCACCTGGCTGGAGGTTCTGCGTGGGTGCAAGTACGGGGATACGCGGCGCAAGCCCAGAGTTCTTGACCATGGGGCCGAAGTTTGCGAGGGTATTGGCGCCGGTATCCGTGTCCCAGACGCGTATTCGCGCATCGTGGCCGCAGGAGACTAGGTGTTTGCCGTCTTCTGTCCAGACGAGCCCGTTCACGGCGTCTCTGTGCGCTTGTGCGTTGGTAGCGTTGCGTGTAAACGACGCGGGCTTCCCTAGTATGCCGACTGAGTCCTCGAGATCCAGTACGCCCAGCTCACCGACGCTGCGGCGTACATCCCAGAAGCGTACACTGCCGTCTGTAGCTCCGCTCGCGAGAATGTGTTCGCGCACAGGGCTCCATGCTGTGGAGAGGATTGCGCCAGAGTGGCCCGCTAGACTGTGTGTGGTTGCGCCGGAACGCAGATCGACGAGACGGACGTTGGGGTGTTGGGTGGCGCATGCGACGAGAAGGTGCGATGCGATAGGCGACAGGGCGATGTTGTACACGACCGAGTCGAGATCGAAAGACGCTGACGTCGCAAGTGTTTCGCTGGAGTAGAGCTTGACGGTGTGATCGTACGAGGACGTGAGGAAGGCCAGAGAATCGAAGGGATAGAATTGTATCTGCGTAATGCCCAGCTTGTGCTCTTCGCTCGTCTTGTTCACCGCCGTCAGAGGCAGATATGTCTCTCCCGCCTCGGTTGCCGTGGTCTGCGCCTCGAGATCCCATACCGCGATGGAGCTGTCGGCACCTCCAGAAAGCAGATACCGTCCTTCGAACTTGTCGATTGTCAGCGCGTTTACTCCGGATATATGCGCCGGTATGCGCTCGCGTGGGTTGTCGGGAGCAGGCAGGTGCTGACTGAAGGTCACGGCGGGAGACGGTTGCAGCGCGTAGATAAGACGGGAGGCATAGGCGCGCTTGAGGACATGGTTGGGAATGAAGCCGTACGCGCGGTCGAGCACGTGTTGGGCGTTCATATGCGACTACATGCTTCGTGTGTGTTGGAGCGAGGGAAAGAAGAACCTTGGAAGGCGCAGAGGGTTCCAAGGTTATGACGTTGTAGCCTGGCGTCCACACGCGACAGGGATCTGCAGTCGCAACACATTCACCAACGGGCGCTCAATCCTTGCAAGCGAGCCGCGTACCTTTGCACTCCGCCTTACCTTAGCACAGAAACAACGACAAACATCCCGGAGCTATCTTGCATGGCTGCTGTCAAGAAAAAGCTCAAGATCAAACGCACGAAATTTCGCAAGCGCCGATCCACCGTCTACGATGCCGTCAAACGTAAGAGACGCCCAAGTTCATCATGAAGACAGTTGATCTAAAGATATCTAGGCAGAGTCGCCCGAACTGGTCTGATTCACAACATCTCTGATCCCAAGGCATCCAGGAAACCACTTCGGCCAGACGAGGTACTCTTCAAGCGAAAGAATGCGCCCATCCGATACGAGGAAGATGACTATTATCCCGCTCACAACAAGTTACCTCCAGACCAAAAGCTGCCCAGTGGAGATCTGGCCACCGCAATGAAAGCCTATGTCGAGAGGCTGTGGCTCAAAACTGGACGACGCCGCCGCTTCTCGCGCAAGCTCATGCGAAGGACGTGGAGAGGCCTGAACGAAACCGCGCTCATTGCTCTGTGCATCCTGATGGAAGAAACGGCGCGCGATGCACTGGGTGAGACAGGAGATTTGGCCTTTACCGAAGCAGCTGAGGAACATGAACATGAAATTCTCACGAGTCTGAAGAAGGCGAAGAGGGCGACGAAGAGTGGTGCGCAGAAACAAGGTACTGAGAAAAAGAAGGAGCAGCCAAGTGTTGATAAAGAGAAGCTGCCGGTTGAAAAGAAGACAGGGAAGCATGTGACGTGGGTTTCGTCCGATGAGTCGTCGTCGACGTCGTCGTTCGATGACTCAGAAGAGTCGGACGACCTTGAAGAGGATCTGGATTGAGTATCACATTACGTGGAATGGCGAAGTTCAAGAGGGAAAAGTCTACATCCGACCCGGAGCCAAAAGATTCGCAAGGAGGACTTGATGGGCCAAAGATGATGCCATATGTGTACCACCGCCTTGTAGGCCCGTTTGAACGCACACCTCTGATCTTCACGCCGTAATGTTCAAGTTCTACTGCAGAAAGGAGACTGTCGGGTGTCATAGATTAGTGACAATAGTGTTGATGCGATCGGGGTCCTAGCTGGGTTGAGGTCGTGCCTGGCTCCTACCACAACCGGGGACCTAGCGTGCCTTCCTTCAAGCGGGAAGACGCGATCAGAAGCGCGCTCGTGCCTCGCGACCTTAGTCTTACACACGATCGTCGCGGTCATCGCTTCTCATTCTTTCCTCGCTACTTCACTTCCGCTGCAAGAGCATTCGTCCTCTTAGTCGAGCGAAAATGGTCAGTTCAGACATGATTCCCGCTCGAGCACTCACTAACACTAGCAGGCACCCAAGACTCAGCCCAACCCGCAGAAGGCGGCATCCATTCTTGCCTGGTTCCATAAGACGGCGCAGGCTCATAGCATCAAGGACCTCGAAAAGACGCTGCCACAAGTCTCCTCTATCAACGGCATGCAGGTCAAGGACTACCTCCAAGCACTCTCAGACGACAACAAGATTCGTGTCGAGAAGATTGGTAGCGGCAACTGGTACTGGAGCTTCCCAGCCGACGAAAAGAAAGCCAAAGATGCTGCTCTCAAGAAGGCCCAAGAGGAGTTTGACAAGGCCACCGCTACTGTAGCCGAACTTCAGGCGAAAGTGGATGATGCAGGTGCAGCTCGCGCTGATGACGAGGAGATGCTCATGGAGACAGGTAATTACTAATCTACCATGCTTTGCACTCATGCTCATCACTCGCAGGTGGCGACCGCAAGACACTGATTACGAAGCATGCCGACCTCACCAGAGACCTCGAGAAGCTCAGGACTGAGCTAGCCGCGTACAGCGAGCAAGACCCCGTCGAAATGGAGAAGAAAGCCACCGAAACTCAGCAGGCTCATCTTGACGCTGATAAGTTTACCGACCAGATTTACGCCATGCAGGGCTGGGTTAAGCAGACTATGTGTGGTGGCAGTGGAGGGCACGAATACCTGGAGATACTGAGGTCCTTCTATCAGGATGAGTTTGATGAGGAGGAACTGGGCTTACGTGAATTGTGAAACTGGGGAAGTCTGTGAAATGTATTCTCAGAGTAGCCATAGAGTAGGTTACAACGTGTCTGTGCACGCGTAGCGGTAAGGCATGACTACGGCCATACAGACAATATAGTGTACAATCATTTCGACTCATTCGAGCGACTGCTGCGCCATGTTCGGTCTGGCAGTGCTTGAGTCATGTTTGAGCATGGGCCATCTCCAGGGCTAACAGCTTTCGCTTGTGAAGGGCGTCATCGCAAGTAGCTTTCGCCAAACTACCAACAAAGGCCTACCGTACAAAGAGGCCTCGCCCGCCTGCCTCTGCCTGATCATTCACTTTCGCATAACTGTCTGGAACCGTCCATACCGACAATCCTCTATACTGACCCCTTAGACCCGCAACAATACCCCGCGATGGCCTCGACAGGCGCCCCAGAAACCCCGCAAGTTCCTGCAAGCCCGCAACGGAGAGGGGGAAGAGGGCGTGGGCGCGGCAGAGGTGCACACGGTGGAGAAGATGGCCATGAGAACTTTGGAGGGCGAGGCCGTGGACGGGGCGGCTTCCAGAGCCGCGGGCGAGGTCGCGGCAACAGAGACGGCGCGGGCACTCGCGGTGGACATGCGCCAGAGAAGGGCAAGGCGCCTGCCATAGACACAGAAGAAAGCGGACACGCTCCACCGACTCTCGTCAAGCCCAACCTCCAGCAATCGGACAACGAAGACGACGATGCCGAAGTCTGCTTCATTTGCGCCTCGCCCGTTCAGCACACAGCCGTCGCTCCTTGCAACCACCGCACATGTCACATCTGCTCCATCCGAATGCGGGCCTTGTATAAGACAAAGGCTTGTGCACATTGTCGAACCGAGTCGGACCACGTTATCCTCACAGATGACGCCGAGAAGAACTACGAGGACTTCTCCACCGCTGAGTTTTTCAAATCCGACGATACCCTGGGCATACACTTTGAGAACTCTGGCGTGTTTGAAGATGCGCGATTGCTGTTACAGTACAACTGCCCCGACGGCGAGTGCGATGTAGCCTGTCTAGGTTGGCCGGACCTGCATCGTCATGTCAAGACGGCGCATGGAAAGGTCATGTGGTGTGTATTCTGCAGTTCTGAACAAATGACACTGGCTAACATTGTAAAGTGACCTCTGTACGCGGAATAAAAAGGTCTTTACCCACGAGCACGTCCTATTCACGATGGCCGAGCTACGACGGCACCAGAAGTTTGGCGACGATAACCCTGGAGCGATAGATCAAAGCGGATTCAAAGGGCACCCGGAGTGCGGTTTCTGCAACCAGCGTTTCTACGGCGACGACGAACTATACACCCATTGCAGAGACAAGCACGAGCGCTGCCACATTTGCGACCGCCGGGAAGGAGGAAGCAGGAAACAGCAATACTACGTAAACTACGACTCGCTCGAGGTGCACTTTCGAAAAGATCATTTCCTCTGCCCAGACCGAGAGTGTCTAGAGAAAAAGTTCGTCGTATTCGATTCTGAGATGGACCTCAAGGCGCACCAGTTGGAGGTGCATCCCAACGGTCTTTCCAAGGACGCTTTACGGGATGCCCGGAGAGTCGACATGTCTGGCTTCCAAATTAGGGCGCCTCACGAGCAAGGTCAGGGTAACAACAGGCGAGACGAGCGCAGACGCGAGGGCGGCAGAGGCCGTGGGCGCGGACGGGATCCGAACGCTGAGCCAGTGCCTGCGTCATCTGCGCAGCCCTTGAGCAGAGCAGAGCTTGCTTACCAGCGGCAGAGGGAGACTCAGAACACTCACTCGGTGACTGGAAGAACTTTTGGGGGCCAGCTCTCTGCACCAACTCCAGGCGAGGCGTTCGCTGCTAGACCTCCTCCAAGTGCCTCAGAGCCTCCTACCGTTACTGCGTCGCGCCCAACCCCAGCGGCTGCCAACAATATCACAAATGGCGTCGCTCAACTAAGCATGGACACACAACCACCCAACCCAGTTCCACAGACACCCCAGGACCAGGCTAGACTGTTGCGTCACAACGCAGTTACGGAACGGGCCACAAACATGCTTCGGGGTAGCGAGATCAAGCTGCAAGAGTTCAGAGCCGCAGTATCGGCCTATCGCAACTCCAAGGTATCCGCGGCACAGCTCATCGACGGGTTCTTTGCGCTATTCGACGCCAACTCGAAAGAGATGGGGAAGCTGATCAAAGAATTGGCGGACATCTTTGAGATGCCAGGAAAGCGGGAAGCTCTATTGAAGGCTTGGAATGATTGGAAGGCTATCAACGAGGACTATCCATCATTACCTGGCTCTGCGACAGGCTTGAACGGCGGATCGACTGCGCGAGGAGGTTCGCGGGTACTGAAGCTGAAGAGCTCAACAGCGCAATCGTCTCGATCCACAGCCAACCAGCAAGCCAGTTGGTCGAACGCATCGTCGAGCAACCCATTCCCAGCCTTGCCAGCACCTTCGGGTCGTGTCGGTGCGAAGCCCGGACAAACGCCTTGGGCCTCATCTGCCGCAACGAGCGCGCGCCCCTCGCCCATGCCATCACGAGTCGCATCATCAACGAACGTGAACAAGAAGCCTGCTGCCGCAGACGCCTTCCCAGCTCTCCCCGCAGCAGCGAAACCCACCAGCACAATCTTCAGTCCCGGCTACACTGGCCACGGTCTACGACGCGACAACAGCGGACGCAACACTCCAGTTAGTAACCCTTGGGCTGGCCCATCCGGCACGAACAGCGGTACATCAACACCGGCTTTGGAGGATGCAGGAGCGGCAGGGAAGAAGAAGGGCAACAAGGGCAAGAAACAGACACTCTTCCAGTGGGGTTAGTGGGCGTAATGTTGAACTCCTGTTATGAATAAATCATCCAGATGTCTACATTGCCTCGGTTCATCGTCCTTGTCCGTTGTTGATGTGATGTAGACTTCAATGCACCTGTAGACTTTCTTCCTTGCATGGTGGGTTCACTGATAACATGGCTTGAAGATATCAGTGTGTTGTAGGCTGTGTATCGTCATCTGAGAACATTGTGTACACCTTCAGGGTGCATTATACATCGCTTCATCTGAAAGAACATTCACACCCAGCGCACCTGCCGACTTTCTACCTTGCATAAAGTAGGCTCACTGATAACATAGCTTGAAGGTATCAGTGTGCTGTAGGCTGTGTATCGTCATCCGAGAACATCGTGTCTACCTTCAGGGTGCATTATGCGTCACTTCATTTGACAGAACACCCATATCAGCAGTAGTAACGAGAACGTATAAACTAGTGATTAGTCCATTTGCGATACCTACAGAAAACCGCTTACAACGTATTGTTAGAAAACCCCAACAACGCCAAAATTCCAAAACGCCAACCCAGAACATGCATCCATAATCCGTAACCTGCCAACGACCATACCGTCAACTCGTATACCTCTGACCAGCTCTCACGCATCCTCATCAAACTCAGCCTGGTTAGGCACCTTGGGGCCATCTTTGCGAATGGGGATCTTGATACCCTGCTGCGCAAAGCACTTGCTGAGCTTGGTGCTTTCAATGACACCGGGGAACTTCTTGGCGGAGTAGACAGTGAAGGGCTCGGTGAAGTTGGAGACAAGGCATGGGCCTTTACCTTTGCTGCCGTCGTTCATGTGAATCGTGCCGTTGGTGCCGTCGTTGGAGCCAATGTCGAAAAGGCTGAGCTTCAGCCGGAATGTACCCTCGGTGCGCACACTCAGATCCTGTAGTACGAACCAAAAGCCAGGTTTTTGGTCGAGATCTTGGAGGCGGCATGCATTTACAGCGTTCATGCCAATGAGATTGCGGGTGTGATTCGAGCCCATGGGTGTTGCAGGAATCATTGTGTTTGTCATCTGCACGGGGGGCTGCCCGTACATGTTTTGCGGCATGGGGTAGCCCGGTGGTTGGGCCTGCCAGTATCCCTGGGGCCCTGGAACGGGGTTTCCGCCGTACTGGACCATGTGCTGCTGCGGCATGCCACCGCGGGAGTCGTACTGAACTTGGGCTGTGAACATGTGGTGTGTTCGCTCGGGCGGCGGAGGGTAAGAGGTGGTAGTGCTACTTGATATCGACACGGTCGGCGCCGCGCTACTGTGTCTCACCAGGTTGACGGCATTGACTCCCTGCGCGTCGTAGAGGTCGACCATGAGCACGAAGTACGTGCTGTCGATGTCGTTGAAGGGGACCTCTTGTCCCGTGTGGGTGTCGTAGACGACCAAGCGGACGCAGGGCGGGGGTGTGATCGGCCTTCGATCCTTGTCACCAAAGCCGCACATGCGGGCTCGGATCGGTTGTTGTTCAACAACCAAGTCGTATTTCCTGGTGGGCTTCGCCATGGTCTGCTGTTGCTGAATTGGCTCTGGGCGGCCAGTGCTAGTCCTGGTGTAATTATTGTAAGACATTTTGGCGTTGTGATGTTGATGTCTTGGTGTTGATTGGATGTGGGTGAGAGATGTTATGGGTAAGATTAACGGACGGGCGTGCACAAGCTATATACTCTCCCAAGATTTAGGCGATGCGGAAGTGCGCCACGGGCCAACGCTACCTACAGACTCACCACTACAACCATGGTTCAGTATCGAGACATTACCCTTGCAAACGGTCATCAAATCACTTTCATTGATGATAACTCGATGCGAAAAAAGGCTCATCGACTCATCGAGTAGGATTGAAACGGGAATATTCCTATAGGGCCACGCAGGTGAGGGGGACCACAGCTGCGGGTCTCAGCCATGATCGGCGTTAGTCTCCGGCGCTACCTCACCCATGGGACACCTCATACACGAAAACGTCTGCGGACTACATCAAGACAAAACCCTGCAAAGTGGGTGACTAACGTCAACGTAGGATCCAGGGTGTTCAGTTTTTACTGGGTTTGCGGACTACATCAAGATAAAAATGCGCGGTGTTCAGTATTTTATCAGGTAAACGTGGGACGCGCACTTGTGTGGGTAGTGCATAATCTGTATGTTTGCAGACTACATCAAGACAGAAACCTGCAAAGTAGGTGACTAACGTGAACCTAGGCTCCAGGATATCTTTTCTTATTAGGTTGCCCAGGTGATGTGGGACGCGCACTCGCGTAGCGCATACCTGATCTGAATGTTTGCAACGCCCGATTTGTGATATGATCAGTCTCTTGTCCATTGGCAATAGTGACCATACCACGTAACTACACTCTGCCATTTTCCAATCACGTGTTACACTCAAACCCCATCTGAGTCAACCAGGTGTGTGTGCCATTTTCACCTAATTTTGGCCGCACTGTTCGCTCGGCTCCACATTCGACCACGCTCAACCACAGTACGAAGCAGGCTGAGCAACTTTGTGATGGACTGTTGCCTAGCCATCTTTCGCACTTGAAGCTGAAGCATCTCATTCAATGCACAAACTAGACACGTGCCCTGTAGGCTACGTGGGTGTTCAACGCACCAGCTGCAAAATCTTCCCGCAATGTAGACTTCTACGTGATTTACATCGATCGTCTGCTGTAGGTAGATATAGAAGCCAAGTGGGGAGAGTTTCTTTACGAATACCACGGCTTAGGTTCTACTTGACAAGATACCAAAGGAACTTTTCAATCGAGGGGAATGTCAGGAAGCATTTGGGCGTCCACGCGACTGAATAATGGAATATCGAGCAGCTTGGAACCTTTACTATAACTGAGCATTTCCATGGTGTTAATATGTCATGTGTCATGTCCACTTCGTACTCCACACGAAAATATGTTCCTCGGTGAACTTTCAGTAGTCGCGGCGTAGTAGCTTGTTCGTAAACAAGCACAGTATTCAACTGTACGGCGATACCATTCTGACGAACAGCCAGCGCCGACTTCGAAGCCTTTTGGAACCTTAACTTCTAACACTATCGCACAACCTGGGACCTTGAACGCTCGTGTCGAGAATGTCAGAAGGTGTAGTTTGCAGCCTATACATCTAGACGGCCTGAGATATTCAGCTCTCATTAGGTTCTCTAGCACACAAGGCCCATGGTACAAAGTAGAAGATGTAATATTCAAAAAGGGAAAGCAGGTAGCATTCGGATACGGGAGAGACTTCACTCACGCGAGACTTTCAACTTACGAGGAAGATGCTTAGTCTTAGGTTGTTGCTATCATCTACCGTTAAAGAGGAACTGCGTAACTGTCAAGGTAATTAGAACATGCTATTTCTTGTTTGTATATACGGTGGAGATTCTATCTACTAGATACTATATACTATATACTAAAGAGTACCCATGAATTACGCTAAATTTACGTAGTGTGTCTTCCAAGCACGACGCTTGAAACTCAAGTTCAGTCCTGAATAGAGCGTGTACACACAGATTTGGATGATCCCACACAAGACTCCCATTCCAACTGCCATCTTTTCCAGACTCTGATAATAGACGTCGTGGAGATCTGCTTCCAGTGCCTCACCTTGGGTCCAGCTGATGTATCAAGACGTTTCCTTCGGTAATTCCGTTATGCAGGTGCCATTGAGCGGAGTTTGCAGTATCATTATCTGCAACTATGTTGGAGACAGTTTTCCGACGTTTAGAATGATACGGATAGGTGATGATACATAGCATCAAGGTTGTTGGTTGAGACGTCGAGACGTATCGGATCTGTTGAGAGATCGTCGTACTTAGGACGGAGAATCCATGACGATGATCTCGTAGTGTGGACGCTGCAAGTCTTCCACTCCGATATCGATGCACCGGTGGAAATCGTGTAGTGTTGTCCTACCCATGTCTGGGCATTTGACATAACGGCGCGAAGTTCACTTGGTCCGTGATAAGACGGGCAGAGTACTGTTCGTACGCGAGTCGGGATCCGCATGTCAATCCGTCAGGTATAGACTGCCACTTCACCCAATGTTATGCTTGTCCATCTCTTCATCGATCCAGCTCCCCCGCTTGACTCTGACCCGCCTCCTCCATTTATCCTGATCTTCCTGCTGCCCTCGCGTCTCCCACCCAGTCTCGCCATTCGCCGGTTCCGCATGCGTAACGTTCGGGCTGATGCGTCGGGGATCCACAAAGTCGGGATATTGCGATCCGCCAAAGTCGTGCGTGAGCAGGCTGCCGTTGAGTCTCGCCGATGCTCCCACACTCGCTGTACCACTCTGTGTCTTTTCCAGTGTCAGGGTATTCCGGCGTTCGAAGCTGTTACCGCGTGCGTAGGCGTTGTTCATGCTCTGATCGGATTCGGCTCGGACGCGCACGAGTTGGATGAGTTTGCCTAGGACGGCGAATTCGAGCTTGAGTTTGATGGAGTATACGACGCCTTTCAGGGTGGTTTCGATGAGGTACAGATTGGCGAATTCGACGCTGAGCAGGGCGATGTCCATGGCAATGATTAGTACGTTGATGGTGAGGAGCTGGTACATTGTCTTTCGAACGTTTGTGTTCTTAAGGTGCCCGTGTGATTGGTTTCCAGCGCTGTCGTCGAAGCTGCGTACGTCGTCTTGTACCGTTTCTGAGAGTTTCAGTAGTCGTACCGTCTCCTTGATGTATACTATGGACAGGATGGTTTCTTGCACGAAGAAGCACACCATCTGCACTTTCTCCATTATCGAGTATCCGCGGACGAAGCGACGCAGCGTAGCATCGGAAAGCGAGTTCGAATTGGAACCGAAGGTCAAGACGGTCGTAACTGAGTGGAGCAGTACGCCATTGACGATAATCATGTAGAGGGTCCAGCGAAGGACTCGGCGCGAGTTCGTAACGAGATGGAGACGTGACCATAGAACGACTGATTGCCCTGGGTGTTGTTAGTAGCTACATCCTCGGGGTCTCCAGCGTTGACTGGACTCACCAGTGATCATGGGATACCAGCCAAGCGTG